CCGGAAGTCACGGCAGAGACTCCACTCCTGCCGGAAGTCACGGCAGAGACTCCACTCCTGCCGGAAGTCACGGCAGAGACTCCACTCCTGCCGGAAGTCACGGCAGAGACTCCACTCCTGCCGGAAGTCACGGCAGAGACTCCACTCCTGCCGGAAGTCACGGCAGAGACTCCACTCCTGCCGGAAGTCACGGCAGAGACTCCACTCCTGCCGGAAGTCACGGCAGAGACTCCACTCCTGCCGGAAGTCACGGCAGAGACTCCACTCCTGCCGGAAGTCACGGCAGAGACTCCACTCCTGCCGGAAGTCACGGCAGAGACTCCACTCCTGCCGGAAGTCACGGCAGAGACTCCACTCCTGCCGGAAGTCACGGCAGAGACTCCACTCCTGCCGGAAGTCACGGCAGAGACTCCACTCCTGCCGGAAGTCACGGCAGAGACTCCACTCCTGCCGGAAGTCACGGCAGAGACTCCACTCCTGCCGGAAGTCACGGCAGAGACTCCACTCCTGCCGGAAGTCACGGCAGAGACTCCACTCCTGCCGGAAGTCACGGCAGAGACTCCACTCCTGCCGGAAGTCACGGCAGAGACTCCACTCCTGCCGGAAGTCACGGCAGAGACTCCACTCCTGCCGGAAGTCACGGCAGAGACTCCACTCCTGCCGGAAGTCACGGCAGAGACTCCACTCCTGCCGGAAGTCACGGCAGAGACTCCACTCCTGCCGGAAGTCACGGCAGAGACTCCACTCCTGCCGGAAGTCACGGCAGAGACTCCACTCCTGCCGGAAGTCACGGCAGAGACTCCACTCCTGCCGGAAGTCACGGCAGAGACTCCACTCCTCCGGAAGTCACGGCAGAGACTCCACTCCTGCCGGAAGTCACGGCAGAGACTCCACTCCTGCCGGAAGTCACGGCAGAGACTCCACTCCTGCCGGAAGTCACGGCAGAGACTCCACTCCTGCCGGAAGTCACGGCAGAGACTCCACTCCTGCCGGAAGTCACGGCAGAGACTCCACTCCTGCCGGAAGTCACGGCAGAGACTCCACTCCTGCCGGAAGTCACGGCAGAGACTCCACTCCTGCCGGGAAGTCACGGCAGAGACTCCACTCCTGCCGGAAGTCACGGCAGAGACTCCACTCCTGCCGGAAGTCACGGCAGAGACTCCACTCCTGCCGGAAGTCACGGCAGAGACTCCACTCCTGCCGGAAGTCACGGCAGAGACTCCAGTCCTGCCGGAAGTCACGGCAGAGACTCCAGTCCTGCCGGAAGTCACGGCAGAGACTCCAGTCCTGCCGGAAGTCACGGCAGAGACTCCAGTCCTGCCGGAAGTCACGGCAGAGACTCCAGTCCTGCCGGAAGTCACGGCAGAGACTCAGTCCTGCCGGAAGTCACGGCAGAGACTCCAGTCCTGCCGGAAGTCACGGCAGAGACTCCAGTCCTGCCGGAAGTCACGGCAGAGACTCCAGTCCTGCCGGAAGTCACGGCAGAGACTCCAGTCCTGCCGGAAGTCACGGCAGAGACTCAGTCCTGCCGGAAGTCACGGCAGAGACTCCAGTCCTGCCGGAAGTCACGGCAGAGACTCCAGTCCTGCCGGAAGTCACGGCAGAGACTCCAGTCCTGCCGGAAGTCACGGCAGAGACTCCAGTCCTGCCGGAAGTCACGGCAGAGACTCCAGTCCTGCCGGAAGTCACGGCAGAGACTCCAGTCCTGCCGGAAGTCACGGCAGAGACTCCAGTCCTGCCGGAAGTCACGGCAGAGACTCCAGTCCTGCCGGAAGTCACGGCAGAGACTCCAGTCCTGCCGGAAGTCACGGCAGAGACTCCAGTCCTGCCGGAAGTCACGGCAGAGACTCCAGTCCTGCCGGAAGTCACGGCAGAGACTCCAGTCCTGCCGGAAGTCACGGCAGAGACTCCAGTCCTGCCGGAAGTCACGGCAGAGACTCCAGTCCTGCCGGAAGTCACGGCAGAGACTCCAGTCCTGCCGGAAGTCACGGCAGAGACTCCAGTCCTGCCGGAAGTCACGGCAGAGACTCCAGTCCTGCCGGAAGTCACGGCAGAGACTCCAGTCCTGCCGGAAGTCACGGCAGAGACTCCAGTCCTGCCGGAAGTCACGGCAGAGACCCCAGTCCTGCCGGAAGTCACGGCAGAGACTCAGTCCTGCCGGAAGTCACGGCAGAGACTCCAGTCCTGCCGGAAGTCACGGCAGAGACTTCAGTCCTGCCGGAAGTCACGGCAGAGACTTCAGTCCTGCCGGAAGTCACGGCAGAGACTCCAGTCCTGCTGAAAATATTACTCAAAGAAAAATACCTATGCGCAAGAAAACTCACACCTGCTGCGATGTTAATAAGGAAAGTGGTGACCCTCCAGCCGACACACACACTTATGAGGAAGCGCTAAACTTGTAGGGGTTATACAGAGCCTAGGGAATGCGAGGTAATAAGGTGGAGTAAGAGTATAAATTAAGGACACCTGTGAACTAAGACGCATGTAACCCAGTTAACTGTTGCCTTGTTCATGTGCGAGGACAGGTTCATGGTACCTGAGTCAGGATGGAAAGGTTCCGCCACAAATGGTTTGTTCAGTCATGAAGAAACCATTCATGGCGAAACATCAGCGTCAAGGAAGCTCTCTTGAGGCGGTGGCTCTGGCAAAGTTGTCAGTGACTCACCCATAAACAATGTACCAGTTATCAGGGTGATGAATACTGATAAAGAGTTTTATAGGAAATTAACCGGCACCTCCAACAACGGCTTCACAACAGCGACGTCACCCTTTTATCAAAGTAACTTTTTGCACTAAAATTTACCGCATTTTACATCATCTGTTTCCTGTCTTAACTCTATTTATTTTTCTTAACACGATCCTTGACAATTATTCTCGTATTCATGCTGTTTACGTATGCGTTCGTATATTAATGAATATTAGATCTTGTTAAACCATTCAATATTTATATACGAGTCTTTTTCGAACAGCCAAAAAACAATACAGTATTTCTAGGACCAAAATATTAGAGGCATTGAAAGGGAGAGAGAATTTAGGTAGAAACAAGCAACTGTCTAGAAAGTCAAGAAAATATCCACTTAAACTCAGTGGTTAGGTCACCCTGAGAGTGTTCATCCACAACCTTGTTCACTGCTCTAGCCTACCTAAACCTGGTTGACAGATACACAACAGTGTGTTTGCATAAACGGGGAGAAATCAGTGAGGACGCGTCACGAAGTGGGTTTCCGCATTGGTCAGTGTTGGGTCCTTTGTTGTTGACAATTTACATAAACGACATAGATAAAGGAATGAATAGCGACATAAGGAAGTTTGCCGACTACACCAAAACAGTCCGTCGAATTAACTCCGATGACACTAGAGCGCTGCAGGAAGATCTGAACACTGAAGCAATGGTCAGAGAAGTGGCAGATACAGTTTAATAGAGACAAATGCAAATTTCTAGGCGTTAGGAAGGAAAAATAACCATGACATTTATAAATTAAATAATGTGAATCTTCATACCACTGATTGCGAAAAAGATTTAGGAGTTCTGGTTAGGAGTAATCTAAAACCAAGACAACAATGCGTAAGTGTTGGTAATAAAGCGAATAGAATTCTTGGCTTCAGGTTATTTTCAGCTCTAGACCTCATTTTGATTACAGAAGGGATATAAATGCACTGGAGAGCGTACAAAGAAGAATGACAGGGTTGATCCCATGTATCAGAAATCTTTCCTACGAGGACAGACTGAGGCCCTGGATTTGCACTCTTAAAAAGGAGCAGAATTAGGAATATGATCGAGGTGTATCAATGGCAAACAGGAATAAATAAAGAAGATGTAAATACCGCACTAAAAGAATCTAACCAAGACAGGACTAGCCGCAATGATTTAAAGTTCGAAAAAATTAGATTTAGAAAGGATATAGGAAAGCACCGGTTTGGTAATAGAGTTGTGAATGAGTGGAGCAAACTACCGAGTAGCGTCACTGAAGTTAAAATGTGTGGTTTTAAAAATAGGTTAGATACATGGGTGGGTGTGGGTGGGTGAATTGGACCTGGCTGGCATTGCTGCGAAGTGGCTGCGACCCGGACTTGACTTAAGCAAGAAGGTGACTTGGACCTGTCTAGGATGAGTCAGTAGGCCTGTTGAAGTTCTCCTCATGTTCTTTACCTCTTCATCCTTGCCAACCCCATGTCCACACACCAGTCAACCTCTACAGGAGTGGGTCCACCCCTTAGATAGCTTACCACCGGTCCACCCTGAGCCGGTTTATCCCGGTCTACCCCAGAGCTGGCTTATTAACCCCGGTCCACCCCAGAGCTGGCTTATTAACCCCGGTCCACCCGTATTCAAATATCCAGACCAATAACTCAGATGAGCTTCAAGAAGAATACCCAACAATGACTCTAAACCTTAACGAGTTCATTAAAGACTTGTAAACACGTCATACGACGAGCACCACTCCACTGTCCTAACAACAAACATGGAGTTACGAACTGGCAACTCAAAACTCGGGTGATAACACACAACCTCCCCCCCCATCCCCCCCATCCCCCTTCCCCCAAAATATCCTCCACTTCCGGAAACAAACTACGATGGTTGCCAATTTGATAATTGAACTTTTTAATGATTATACCCACGGAGAAGCGCTAAAACCCTAGGGGTCATACAGCATAGGAGGTAAAGAGGTTGAATTCGAGGAAGGGGAAGTGTAGCCCCAGTGCCTTGGATTAAGAACCCCTTCGCTAGACTGAAGGTAATCCCCGTCAAGAGTTGCATCTTTAAGAGAAGTTTTTGTTGATGACAAATAGTCATCGTGTGCCTATTTTTTTTTTTTTTTGACCACCGCCAAATTATTGTACTACAGCTCCCATGTTCCACTACAGTAATGATGAGCGTTAATAAAGTATCGGTCACTACAGTAACGCCTAGTGTGTACTCATCAGGTGTTTCATAACTAATCAGAGAAAAGAGTGTTATCAGCGCGCTGTGAGATCGTTGGATTTATAAATATACATTACTCACACGAAGGAGCCGCCAAGTTTACGTGAAAATACCGAGAGGTGAACGTCAGTCAGTCAGTGAACGAGGTACACAAGGCAACTCCACCTACTGAACAGTTAAACGTTACGGACTGAACATCAGTCAGACACTGTGTGAACTGCACAAGTCAACTGAACCTTTCTCACACGTTAACAAGGTACGACATTACTGAAGGCTTGTATATTACGAAGTGTGGCAAGATTTTGTGTGAAAATAACGAGGGTCTGAATATCAGTTATCTGGAATAAGGTTTGACAGCACTGAACGTCACTCGTACTTCAGGTTTTTGGTTTGCTAGGTTTAATGCGTATAGACTGAGCTTGTATCGCTAAGGCCAAGAATTAACACTAATTTAATCCCCTAAATTCGGAAAAATGTTCGCTCATTTTACATATAGAAGTGCGAGAAGACTTCAGAAAGTTACCGAGAATCTGAACAAACGCACACACACACACACACACACACACACACACACACACACACACACACACACACACTCAGATGATGACCAGGCAGGACTTCAAAGAGACCTGGACAGACTGGACACCTGGTCCAGCAAATGGCTTCTCGAATTTAATCCTGCCAAATGCAAAGTCATGAAGATAGGGGAAGGGCACAGAAGACCACAGACAGAGTATAGGCTAGGTGGCCAAAGACTGCAAACCTCACTCAAGGAGAAAGATCTTGGGGTGAGTATAACACCGAGCATGTCTCCGGAAGCACACATCAACCAGATAAGTGCTGCAGCATATGGGCGCCTGGCAAACCTGAGAACAGCATTCCGATACCTTAGTAAGGAGTCGTTCAAGACACTGTACACCGTGTATGTCAGGCCCATACTGGAGTATGCAGCACCTGTTTGGAACCCGCACTTGATAAAGCACGTCAAGAAACTAGAGAAAGTACAAAGGTTTGGGACAAGGTTAGTTCCAGAGCTAAGGGGAATGTCCTATGAAGAAAGGTTAAGGGAAATCGGCCTGACGACACTGGAGGACAGGAGGGTCAGGGGAGACATGATAACGACATATAAAATACTGCGTGGAATAGACAAGGTGGACAAAGACAGGATGTTCCAGGGAGGGGACACAGAAACAAGAGGCCACAATTGGAAGTTGAAGACACAAATGAATCAGAGATATTAGGAAGTATTTCTTCAGTCAGAGTTGTCAGGCAGTGGAATAGCCTAGAAAATGACGTAGTGGAGGCAGGAACCACACACAGTTTTAAGACGAGGTTTGATAAAGCTCATGGAGCAGGGAGAGAGAGAGGGCCCAGTAGCAACCGGTGAAAAGGCGGGGCCAGGAGCTAAGACTCGACCCCTGCAACCACAAATAGGCGAGTACAAATAGGCGAGTACGTACACACACACACACAGGATGCTCCAGAGAGGGGGCACAGAAACAAGAGGACACAATTGGAAATTGAAGACTCAGATGAGTCAAAGGGATGTTAGGAAGTATTTCTTCAGCCACAAGAGTTGTTAGGAAGTGGAATAGTCTGGAAAGTGATGTAGTGGAGACAGGTACTACTATACATAGTTTTAAGACGAGATATGATAAAGCTCATGGAGCAGGGAGAGGGAGGACCCAGTAGCGGTCAGTGAAGAGGCGGGGCCAGGAGTTGAGTCTCGACCCCTGCAACCACAAATAGGTGAATACACACGCACATACACAGAGGAGCTGTGAATCGACCTCGACAACCACACATAGGCGAGTACACCTTCAGATAAACAATATTAAGAGTGAGTCAAGTGAATTTCACAAAATTTGTTTTGAAATTCTTACGACAGTAAAGTGCAATGTTAATAGTGACTATTATGTCCGAAATACTGTGCATCTTAGTTTTTCTAGAAGTAACACTTGTTTATCTTAGGAAATAATTATTATTGGTGGTAGAAAAACAGATATCAAAGCGCCTTGAATTTCCACTACAATTTAGTCACCTGTGACCTTGCGAGATACAAGGTACACGGTAGTATATGAAGCATGGAGGGCCAGGACCAGGTCAAGACACCCAGCTAAGGGTAGGTCTGAATCTGGAGATCAGGTGAAGCCAAACCTCCACATTACCTTCGCTGAGGTCATGTGCAATTACACACAAATGTACATATGTGCACTGCACACAAATCTTGGGGCAGCAGAAAACAAACAATTGTAGCGACCTGACCTGCAGATTCAGATCTCACCCGGCGATACCTGACCCCCAAATCAGGCTTTGACCATCTATGCTGCTGATTTTGCGTTCCTTGTAAACCCCAAGTGACTCAAACGTAGAAATTAAAGATATTTTGCTATGCGTTTTTCCTACTATTGTCGGCTTACCTATGACCTATTTCGAGAGTTTTCCTGCTGTCGCGACCTGGCCTGGGACCAGTCCTTGTTGCTGCTGGCGGTCTACCACCCAGCGTATCTAAAACAGTTTCGTTGATCTGGCACTCCGCGGAGGTAGTGATTTAATTTACTGTCTAGTACTTCCACACTTGTCCTGGCAATATTTCTGGTATCTGATGTTACCAGGTTGAATAATTTATGCCCATGGATGTTGATATTGCGTTCCCTTATTGTATCCACGCATCCTCTGATTTTCATTAGGTCTATTTTACATTTCCTCCTACTTTTCTCACTCGAGTATGCTTGTATGCAGGCTTAAAACTAGGCTCTTCTACCATGTATATATTATCATTTCTCTTCCTCTCCAAAGAACACAGTTGGTGATGGTCCCAGTAGTTTCAGTACACATTATTTTTTTTTCCAGCTCTGTTATCTTCTACCTTGAACGTTCCCAGAGACCAGAGAGCAGAGAGCAGAGACCAGAGACCAGAGAGCAGAGAGCAGAGAGCAGAGACCAGAGAGCAGAGAGCAGAGAGCACACATGATTTGAATAGTGTTACCATTGGCATTTACAACCATTAAACAACCGCAATAAGTGCAACAGCCACATCTTTATTATTAATTATTAGATTAACACTAGGTATATTTACAGGTGGAGATGTTGAGAGGTGTGGTTGTTGTGGTGTGGGCGCTGAGCCTCGTCTGTGTCTGGGGTCAAACTGATCTTCGACGGTTGTGTGAGTACACTTTAGTTCTTCATGCGACTCATTTACTAGGCTATACACATGTAATTACAACGAACAGAAGATATTTATATTTAAACAAAAATAGATTTGAAAATTTACAAAACGCATGAATTATATAATCCTTACTGGTTTAGCGCCTCTTTCAAATGAATAGATACATAGATATGTAAACACTACAACTATTGCTCTATCTAATGTTCATCAACTGTTACTATACAGATTACAAGAACGAAGGTGCACTACAGCAGGCCTACGGGCCCTTGCTAGGCAGGTCTAACTCGTACCAATCCACAGTCAGTCATTCACATAATTATCTAACCTATATTTAAAGTAAGCTGAAGTTCTTGCCTCACTGAGGCTGCCATCAGTTCGTTCCTCAACTATTGCTAAACCAGTACTTACACTACTCGTATCTAGAGTCTGAATAAGACTCAGATGACACATTAGGTAGATATGGTCCACAAAGCTTTCCAAATGCAATACTGTTATTTTATATTCATGGGGAAGCGCTAAACCCGTAAGGATTCAGTGGTCGGGGAACCTAGGTAAATTACTCTAAATGGGGTAAAAATGAAAATCTCGGAGGTAATAACGGCTCAATAAACAAATAAAACTGCACAAAAATTGATTATTTAATAATATATATTCATATTTTTATTAGAATTTATGATTCCATTTATAGATATTTGTAAGTGCCCATATAATATAAATATTTGGCAGTTTTCTATTAATTTTCAAGACTAGTGGGTAATTTCGCTGCACACAAATTTGTTTTGGGGTAATATTCAAAAAAGTTCGCCGACCTCTGGATTATACAGAGCCTGTAGAATGGGAGATAATCAGGTTTGATCAGAGAAATGGGAGATTATCCCTTATTTACCCTTCACCAGCATTCAAAACACAGGATGTAACGTCTATTGTAGTGTTTGTGGTACATTACAGATGAGAGTTCCAGCACCGTGTCTCTGACGTTGCTGGAGCTCAGGAAGGTCATGAAGGAGGGTCAACCCCTGGCTAAAGACTACAACGTCAAGGTCATCCTCGATCAACATGAATCTCTTCCTTCCCTCAGTTACTGGGATCTTGTCTTGAAAGACAGTGGAGGGAAACAGGGAATATACAAGAGCCAGGCCAACTCCTACACTCAAACAGAGATAGAGTTTGAGACGGATATAACAGATGTAAACTTCGTTTTTGTCGTGGCAAAGGATAGTTCGAGCGCTGTTATTGCAACATCCTTTGATGAGCTCGAGATTAAAGGTGAGTACGGGAAAGATATTTATCAAAATCCCCCCAAAATTTTGTGTTCCATTATAGCTCTGCCTTGGACCCTCAGCTCGCCCTGTCAGCTCATCCTTACACATTTAATCCTTACTAAGTCTAACTTCCTCACCTACTTCATATTAAAAGAATCTTAGCCTTGTTTCTATGCACAAGCGTTGAAAATTTGAAGCCGATTGAATGAGGCGACCATTTAAAGGTCCTCCTTTGGATACACCTAACTTCCCCCCCCCTCCCACACACACACACACACACACACACACACACAGTAAAACATGTTAATAAACTAGTGGAAGTATAGAGGTATGCAAGGAGACTTGCGCCAGAGATCAGAGGAATGAGTTGTGAGGCGAGGCTAAAGAAACTCAGCCTAACGGCATTAACGTACAGAAGAACTAGGGGAGATAAAATGCTCGGAGGCCGCGATAGTGTGGGCTAAGGTAGACCTAGAGGCGAGAAACAAGTACACGAGTGCACAGTGGAAGGTGAACAACACAGATGAGTAACAGGGATGTCAGGAAGTATTTCTTTAGTCCCAGCATGGTCAAGAAGTGGAATGACCTCGATAAAGTAGTGGAGGCAGGCTCCATACATAGTATTAAGAAGGGCCCGTGGCTCAGTAGGTAGCGCATTCAGCTCATATACTAAGTGTCCATGGTTCGATCCCTGGCACAGATGGAAACGTTGGGCATGTTTCCTTACACCTGTTGTCTCTGGTGTGGGTGGCATCCTGAGGGGGGGGGGTATACCATAGATAGGGCTGGGCTTCGAAATTAACTGAGGTAGGATAACAGCTCTTAGACTGGAAAATTGATGCATAAAAAAAGTATGGTAGTAAGGCTCACGAGACCCAAAAAAAAAGTGACAGGTTAAAAAGCAGAGCGAGGAGCCTAGACTCGACCCCTGCAACCATAAATAGGTGAGGTGAATACACACAGGGAGACAATGGATGATTATCCAAAAAGAGGCATGAGAAGGGGCAAATGTAAGAAGTAGGGTTCCAAAAGGATCAGTACTAGGATCTGATGGCATTAAAAGACAGACCAGAGGGAGACATGATAATGACGTACAAAATACTGAGAAGAAATGACAGGATGGGCAGGAACAGGCTGTTCGAGAAGCGGGAAACAAACACGAAGCCACAATTAGAAACAAAAAATATAATAACTGTTGAGTCACAGTAATGTCGGAATATTTCCTCAGACTCGATGAAAATTAGACACGTGTAGCATCTGGGTAACTTTACTGTAGATGTTCCGCCATCCAGTGACTTCATCAGTACACAGTGTATACCATTCATGTACAACTTCTTCACACTCAGAGAGGTCAGGAGCTTGAATACCTGAACAACGAAGTGTTAGAAGCAGGATCTACACACGGCTTAAGAACAGATATAAGGTTCACGAAGCCAGACATGATAGTAGCGGCAGTTTAAGAGGAAGGACGAAGAGCTGGACGAGACAGAGTACACAAGAGGTTTCCACAGAGCAGCCAAGGAGAGACTGAACTGAGAAATACAAGGTCAAGAGGGCGAGGGTGCAACATATGAACACTGGCAAGCCACACAGATGTTAGCAAATATTTCTTTAGTCTTAGGGTGGTAAACAAGTGGAATGAGCAAAGGAGATGTTAAAGGTAAGCGCCATGCACAATTTCAAGAGTAGATATGATAGGACTTAGGACGCAGAATGAGCCAGATCAAGAGCAGTCTTTACCTCGACTTGATATATATATATATATATATATATATATTATATATATATATATATATATATATATATATATATATCATTATAATCATACACACATCACACACACACACACACACACACACCACACACACACACACACACACACACACACACACACTGATCTCTGGCTGAAGGCGCCTCGAACCTACGAACCTTGGAACAAGGTACGCAGTACTTTACCAACCTAGCTACACTGGACCAATACCTTGGCGCCTAGCTCACGCTAGACGTTGATCCAAGGCAGCCAGCTTCAGGCGGAAGGCTTACAGCTTTTCATTTCATCCCCTGCATACATCAGCCTACTAGAGATTTCAACAATGCTAGGAATTCGCAAGAGCAGGCGAAATATTCACAAACACTGATCTCTGGCTGAAGGAGACTCGAACCTACGAACCTTGGATATAAACATTACCTCTACGATATAAACATTGTCTCTACGTCCACAGCAGGACTCGAACCTGCTAACTCTGTATCAGAGTTCATAGTACTTTACCACGAGACTAGACCTGCGATAACCTCGCAGGTCTAGTCTCGTGAACTCTTATACAGAGTTAGCAGGTTCGAGTCCTGCTGTGAAAGTAGAGACAATGTTTGTAAATAATTTAGCCTGTTTGCGAATTGTTAAGCATTATATAATATATATATATATATATATATATATATATATTAAAATATAATATATATATATATATATATATATATATATATATAATATATATTATATATATATATATATATATATATATATATATATATATATATATGCAAGAAATTCGCAAGAGCAGGCGAAATATACACAAACACTGATCTCTGGCTGAAGGAGACTCGAACCTACGAATTCCTTGCATTGTTAAAAATCTCTAGTAAGGCTGATGCATGCAGGGGATGAGATAAAAAGCTGTAAGCCTTCTCCTGAAAGCTGGCTGCCTTGGATTAAAGTCTAGCGCAAGCTGGACTCCAAGGTATTGGTCCAGTGTGGATAGACTGGTAAAGCACTGCGTACCTTGTTCCAAGGTTCGTAGAGTCGAGTCTCCTTCAGCCAGAGATCAGTGTATATATATATATATATATATATATATATATATATATATAAAATATATATATATATTTATATATATAAAATTTTAATATATATATATATATTATATATATATATATATATATATATATAAAAAGACAAGCCACGGAGAATGCAATCTTCAGTTCAAGTACTTTCACGTCTCCGTGCGTCATCAGGAGCTATGCAATGCTGCAAGAGTAGCAACAGGAGATATGAGGTGAAGTTTTCTCAGAGTGAGGTGGCCGACAAGTAACAGTGGCCGCGTGCTCCCTTGTATATACCATATTTTTTCTCGCTATAGCCGTCCCACCTGAGATTTAAAGAGATTCAGCATTATCAGTTCATTACTTCCTATTAATTTCATCATTTTTTTTAGCATACTGTTTTCGAAAGTTAAGCTCCTTCAAGTCTCGGGTCTTCCGTATGGGCCCCATTTTTCAAATTCTGTATCTTAATGGTTAAAACATCTTGTTGCTGGGCTAGTTCAGTTATACTCATGTCTTGGTCTTCTGTTGTTGGTGGTGGGTTGTAAACACCCACAAAGAACCATGGAATCGTCTGTAGCAATGAAGTTGTACATGTTATATATTCTGATGAATCTCCGCAGTTAGGAATTAGCATTTCTTTGAATCACAATCCATCCATGCTAATAACATTAAGAAAATGCATCGCAAAACTGATAAATCACAGCTGTTAAACTTCACCACAGCATTTATGTACAATGTTAATTTTATGTTATGTAACTCCTTTACCGTCACACCTAAGTATTTAATTTGGATTCATGGTTATTATGCACAGACGGGAAATCAAAACTGGCCTGGGTAGGAAGTGAGTACGTCTCCTCGAGGTCACATCTGAGGGTGGACACGGGATTCCTGCAGGAGGTGAAGGCTGGCGAGATGATATGCAGGCAAAAAAATACTCCTTGTTACTTCCTGAACGCTGAACTTCCTGAGGACATCCCTCGCTGCTCCCCCATTTTATCGGGAGTCAGCAAGAACACAGTCAATGTGTGCGACGACACCATCACCAGGTTCCAAGGTAAGTACAGGTCAGGGAAGGTTATGAGGAAGTACTCAACCCGTGGACGACACCATCACCAGGTTCCAAGGTAAGTACAGGTCAGGGAAGGTTATGAGGAAGTACTCAACCCGTGGACGACACCATCACCAGGTTCCAAGGTAAGTACAGGTCAGGGAAGGTTATGAGGAAGTACTCAACCCGTGGAGTTATACAACACTTGCAGAATTACAAGTGATTAAGTTCAATCCCCCAAAAAGGGGAGGAAAGTTCAGTTCCTTGTCTCAAGCACACCTGACAGGCATTAAGGGGAAAGGGAAAAATAGTGATAACCACAGGAATAATGAAATATAGCAGTAATATTCTGCAGGCGATTAAACTTGGAAAAATAATTTTCGATAAAGTTTATGATAAAGCACCAAGACTTATAAGTCACAATAATTTTTCAACTATGATTCTTCCAGTCCATTTCCAAACTAAATCTGTTCAAAAACTTACAGAAACCAAAAGAAATGTATTATTCTCCCCTAACTACATGAAGTGTGTTTGGTATCGGCAGGAACGGCGGAGAGCACACAAGTGGAGCGCAGTGGCAACAACCTGACTGTGAGGGCAGACTTCTCAACCGCGCCCTCCAAGGTGGAGGTGGTGGTGGTTGACCCCAGTGATCCTTCCACAATGCTGTCTCCTGAGGGTTACAAGTGCCAGAGGCTGGAGGACTCCCGGCACCCGGGTTATTGTACCCAGCAACTGAACGGCGCCAAGGACCTGAAAAGACTCATGGTGATTGTGGTCGCCCTTGATAGTGAAGGCTATGTCTTAGAGTCCTCACTCACCATGTATGATGGTGAGAATCACTAGTTTTATTATTATTATTATTATTATTATTATTATTATTAATGTTCATCTCTTGGGTAATGTAAGGAGGCCAACGCCAATTCCTTGGATGAAGTACCCTTCACAGCATCAAGGTACTCCCCCTATTTATGAGCTAGAATCAAATACAAGGGAAGAATGACTCACTGAACCGTAATGACACGATTGCAAACAAATTATGAGGCGGATGGGGATCGAACCCATGGCAAGCGAGTCTAAAACTCGCAAGGTAGCGTGTTGACCATTGCACCAGGTAGCGGCTTTGAATGGACTCGAACTAGAACACGTCACAACCGCCAATGCAGGTTTCTAAAAACATACATTGGCGGTCAAAGTGGTGTATAGAAATATACTTAGCTGGATGAAAGAGTCAGCTCGTCCGGTGGTTAACACACCGGCTTGTGAGTTTTGGAACTCACCCGCCATGGGTTCAAGACTCATCCATACAGTGTTACGAGGGAAACTGAAGTCTTTTACTATATATGAAATGATAACACAGTTAAAACAATCTTCTATCCTGCCTAGCATGAACCAATAGGCCTATTACATTTTTCATTCATTCTTATATAAGATCTACGATCACAAAAATGTGTTTTTTCATACCAACAACATGCCGGTGTCAAAATACCAGCTTATAGCCTATTTACAAATTGGACGAAGACGAACATAACTAATCTAATCAAACTGAAGATCTTTATTAAATACTAATGCGCTTGTCAGCGGCGCCTGTCAACAACATTTCTCCCTTCTCACTATCCAGCGTTAGTATATATATGTTTGTCATTAGTTTAAGGAGAACAAAAAGAATCCACCCTTTAAGAAAATAGTGAAGGACACTATTGCCTTCCCTGTAGATACCTTGCTGCCCAGTGAGCATCAAGCCTTCACTGATGGCTCAATTCAACAGACCTCAGGCTGTTAAATTAGACACATGTGCAACTCTTGGGTATCTTTATTGAGGAAACGTTTCGCCACACAGTGGCTTCATCAGTCCATACATAGGAGAAACTTGAAGAACAGGAGGAGAATGAGGTAATCAGTCCCTCAACCTTGAGTCGATGTGGTCAGTCCATCAATCTTGAATAGAATACATGTGTCTAATTTAACAACATGTCGGTTCTTTGAACCATTCATCTACAGACCTCAGACTGCACAACAGCGGACTGCAAAATACTTGTAACATTAGACTGAATTACTGACTTAGTTCAACATTAACTTCCCCGAAGCTCGCAACCAACAAAAAATGATAATGTACCAGAGCACAGAGATGCCAACACTGTTGTATGGTTGTCAAACATGGGATTTAAACGTTGCAGCGAGGAGGCTGGAGGCAGTGGATATATCGTGTTTGAGGGTAATGAGTCGTATGAATATTATGCAGAGAATTCGAAGTTTAGAGATTAGGAAGGGTGCGGTTACGAAAAGCATTATTCAGAGGGCAGAGGAGGGTTTGTTGAGGGGAACTGGAAAGTTATAGGTTTGAAGATAGGATGACTAGGAGAGCGTATGCTCTCCTAGTCTTGGGCAGAGGGGAAGGAGGGATAGGGGTCTTTCTAGGAAAGGTTGAAGTGCTAGGGGCTTAGACATCCAACAGGCTTGTGTGAGCGTGTTAGACATGAGCAAATACAGGAAAGTGGTTTTCATGATTTGTTGTGCTGTTGGAGTGTAAGCAGGGTAACATACGAAGTGATTCAGGGAAACTGGTTAGCCAGACCAGAGTCCTGGAGGGATGGGGATGTTATGGTTTGTAGGTCATCTGAACTGTCATATCAACACGCTTCTGGCAAGACACAATTAAATGAATGACTGTGAAAGTGTTTTCCTCTTTGTCGGACCACCCTTCCTAGTGTGTTATACAAAAAAGTGGGTATACATTATCACGAAAACCAAGAATCCCAAAGCAACCACCTTCCTTTACCAGAGACTCAGTGTCGTAATCCAGAGAGTAAATGCCTGCAGCATTCTGGGCACAACCCACCGCCGGGGAAGTGGATGAATTATTTGAGATTCAGGCTCTGAGATGTCATGCATGTTGTTCTCCTTACCAATGTATATTTTTTCAATGTATTTTGTTTTCAAGCAACGCTGACACAGCATATACCAGGGAGAGGTTGAAGAAAATGCTCAGACATCTCTGGGAGAATTCTTTTAAAGTGTTCCTTAAAAGTATATTTATTCTGTTTCTCTGAGATGGTAGATCCACAGTCCGTTCTAGAGTTTGCTCCGGTGGAGGCAGTTGGAGATTGTCCTGTTAAGGGCAATGTGTATTTGTAAATGTTAAGCAGAAAATTGGGTAGTGGAAAATTAGGATGTGGGGGTTTTAATTTAAAAGTTTAGTCAGGGGCTGAAGAGGTGTTGTTGAGGTGGTTTGGTTATTCGAGAGAATGGATCAAGTAGAATGACATGGAGAGCATTTAAATCTATACAGGAAGAAGGCGGCGTAGGGGCGTCCTCGAGAAAGGTTGGAAGGAGGGGTAAGGGAGGTTTTGTGGGTTGAGGGGCTTGGACTTCCAGCAAGCTTTGCATGAGCGTGTTAGGAGTGAATGGAGAACAAATGGTATTTGGACCTGACGATCTGTTGAGTGTGAGCAGGGTTAATTTTAGTGAAGGGATTCAGGAAAAAACCGGGTTATTTTATATAACCGGATTGGTCCTTTGGAAATGGGAAGTACAATGCTGCATTTTAAAAGGGGAGGGGTTCGAGATATTGGCAGTTTGGAGGGTTTATGTTGTTTTTATCTTTATACGAAATTTTGCTTTTAAACTGTTGTATTCTGAGCCCCTTTCTGCAAAAACAGTGATAATGTGTGAGTGTGGTGAAAGTGTAATTGATGAAAGGTATTTTCTTTTTGGGGATTTTCTTTCTTTTTGGGTCAACTGCCTGGGTGGAGACGGCCGACTTGAAATTATATATAATATATAATATTATTTATAATATTTTATATATATATTTATATTATATATATTATTTTATAATTTATAAAATATTATTATATAATAATGTGTTGTGTGTGTGTGTGTGTTGGGGTCTATGTCGTGCCGAATAGTAAAGCTTTGCGATCTTGCTTAAACAGCAACGGTTTTTTGCAGATAAGAAAAGGTGAAATTTGTGTTTGCAATAATTTCGCAAAAATCATTTTGAACTTAACGAAAAATTATATTTTACTGTGTTTGTTTATTATTAAATTATTGTAAACTTATTTAAAATATATTTATTGGATTAGGATTAAGTTAATTGCGCTTATAATAATTGCTTGTTATAATAATTGCACTTATAATTGCTTATAATAATTGCGCTTATAATTGCTTGTTATAATAATTGCGCTTATAATTGCTTGTTATAATAATTGCGCTTATAATAATTGCGCTTATAATTGCGCTTGTTATAATAATTGCGCTTGTTATAATTGCGCTTGTTATAATGATTGCGCTTGTTATAATAGTGCTTATAATAATTGCGCTTATAATAATTGCGCTTATAATAATTGCGCTTATAATAATTGCGCTTATAATAATTGCTCTTGTTGTAATTGCGCTTATAATAATTGCGCTTATAATAATTGCGCTTATAATAATTGTGCTTATAATAATTGCGCTTATAATAATTGCGCTTGTTATAATTGCGTTTGTTATAATTGCGCTTATAATAATTGCACTTATAATAATTGCGCTTATAATTGCGCTTATAATAATTGCGTTTGTTATAATTGCGCTTGTTATAATAATTGCGCTTGTTATAATTGCGTTTTTAATTGCGCTTGTTATAATAATTGCGTTTATAATAATTGCGCTTATAATAATTGCGTGTTATAATAATTGCGTTTGTTATAATAATTGCGCTTGTTATAATTGTGCGTGTTATAATAATTGCTTTTATAATAATTGCGCTTGTTATAATTGCGTTTATAATAATTGCGCTTGTTATAATAATTGTGCTTGTTATAATTGCGCTTGTTTTAATAATTGCGTTTATAATAATTGCGCTTATAATAATTGCGCTTGTTATAATTGCGTTTATAATAATTGCGCTTGTTATAATTGCGCTTGTTATAATTGCGCTTGTTATAATAATTGCATTTATAATAATTGAGCTTATAATAATTGCGCTTGTTATAATTGCGCTTGTTATAATTGCGTTTATAATAATTGCGTTTATAATAACTGCGATTGTTATAATAATTGCGCTTGTTATAATTGCGTTTTTAATTGCGCTTGTTATAATAATTGCGTTTATAATAATTGCGCTTATAATAATTGCGTGTTATAATAATTGCGTTTGTTATAATAATTGCGCTTGTTATAATTGTGCGTGTTATAATAATTGCTTTTATAATAATTGCGCTTGTTATAATTGCGTTTTTTAATAGGCTTGTATAATAAAGGGCTTGTTTAATTGCGCTGTTTTAATAATTGCGTTTATAATAATTGGCTTAAATAATTGCGCTTGTTAAATTGCGCTTATAAAAAAATTGCGCTTGTTATAATTGCGCTTGTTATAATTGCGCTTGTTATAATTGCGCTTGTTATAATTGCGCTTGTTATAATTGCGCTTGTTATAATTGCGCTTGTTATAATAATTGCATTAAATTTTTGAGTTAAAAAATTAATTGCGCTTGTTAATTGCGCTTTGTTATAATTGCGTTTATAAAAATTTGCTTTATAATAACTGCGATGTTATAATAATTGCGCTTGTTATAATTGCGTTTTGTTATAAATATTGCGTTTATAATAATGGCTTTGTATTAATGCGTTTGTTATAATAATTGCGTTTATAATAATTGCGCTTGTTATAATTGCGCTTGTTATAATAATTGCGTTTATAATAATTGCGCTTGTTATAATTGCGCTTGTTATAATAATTGCGTTTATAATAATTGCGCTTGTTATAATAATTGGTTTATAATAATTGCGCTTGTTATAATAATTGCGCTTGTTATAATAATTGCGCTTGTTATAATAATTGCGTTTATA